GTACTGATCTGGATTCTGCTTTGAATGCGATCCCGGTCAGTCAGACACAAACTCCTGGCATGGTTTCTCCCGCACACTTTCCTCACTCATAATCTTGCACCGGCTGATAATTCACTTCCCTCTGATGGGGATTGAAGAGACACGCTTTGGCGTTTCCCCTCCTGTTGCAACTGTTAAGCAATGGGAGAACAAACCGAAAGAGCTCAGGAGAACAGAAAGAAAGATAAGGCTGAACGCTGACCGGGAAATAGTCATCTAGCACATTTCTGTTCATTTTAATGTTCATTTCAACCATTTTCCATGAACATTTGGTGCCCCAATTTTAAATATTTGGTTACATCTTTAAGATGAATCATTTGTATTTGAGATGAATCACTTGTATTTCAGGATGAATTGCTTGTATTTTAAGATTAATCACTTATATTTTAAGATTAATCACATATTTTATGGTGGATCACTTGTTGTTTTCCTAATTTCTTTGGATAAAAGTGTCTGCTAAATGTACAAATAAATCCTCGAATAGAGCAAAACAGCATATTAGTGAAACCGGCATCAGTGACTGACAATAAAAACCATGCTTTTTTACTGTTCACACTATTTATTCATACAAACTTGCATTAACCAGAATTGAGACTCTTAAAGGGATAGTTCACCCAAAAATGAAAATTTGGTCATTTACTCACCATCAACTTGCTCCAAACCTGTATACGTTTCTTTCTTCTGCTGAACATAAAATAAGATATTTTGAAGAATTCTGGTAAACCAAACAGTTGACGGTACCCATTGACTTAACGTAAACAACTTTTTAGTTACCAACATTCTTCAAAATATCTTTTTATGATTCACAGAAACTCATACAGGCTTGGAACAACTTCAGTGCGAGTAAAAGATACATTTTTTGGATGAATTATCCATTTATGTGAGTTTTTAATATCTATTTATCGAGACGTCTGTCTCAACTGAAACGGCACCCAAATGCAGAATTCAAAATACATCACAGCAAAGGAAATGCGAATACGTGAATACTGTATATGTGGACATTAGCATGTGCTTAAATGAGTCAGGGGTCAAAAAGAGCAGCGAATGAAAGAGAGGCGTGAGGCACTGAATGTTATGCCTCTTCCTGTGTGGTTGAGCACCACGTGGCTGGCAGCGGGGTTAAATATGAGCACTTCTCCTGTTTTAGGCCCATTTCTACTTGGACTGGAGAGGAAGACGCCTGAAGAACTCTGCTAAGACCACCGGAGAAGAAGAAAGAGGCAAATATGGCACTACTGAGCTTGATCTACAGAGGTATGGATGTAATTGAGCCATAAAATACAAGTTCTGATGGGTAACGTATGGTTATTGTTATACTGAGATGCGCAGGAAACAGGAAGCGATTTATTTTGTACATTTTGACTTTTCTTGTTTCGTCATCAATGCACATAATGATGTACGACTTTATGTATTAATGTTCTGCATAAATAAGTTTTTCACTGTAACATTTGTGAGCAAATGATTATGTCGGACTCTCCATTGATGCATGTATAAAATAAAAATAAAAATAAAAAAATCAGATCAATTTCTGGAATGCAATAGATTGTCAATTGTATTTCACTATTATTTATTACATGACAATATGAAGAACAATGTTTAAAAGTAATGTATGCGCACCAGTTCCTGTTCAACAAAAGTTGCCAAAAGTGCTAAAAAAATGACTATTTTCTATTATTGTAGTTTCTTTTTTTTCCAACACAAAACAACAGCAAAAACAAAAAAATGGAGCATATCTGTAATAAAATGCTCATCTTCTTTTGAAAGAAAAAGCCTACTCATGTTGATCAAAATGGCTGCCGTCTGATGTGAGGAAGACGTTTGTGTCGCCACCGCTAGCATTTGCGAATGACGCATTATTCTTTCATAAAATGTGTACTTTAATCTACTTGTTTTCAAAAATTGCTGTATAAACTTTAACATAACTCAACAAAATGCATGTTGCAGTATATTTGTCATACATAATGCACCTAATAATTTACTTCAATGAATTATTAATGGCAAAACATTTCTGTTTTGCATGTCGTATGTTCAAATAGCAATCAATCAAACTCAATTTCCTCAAACATTAAGAGTTTCAAGTCTGTAGAGTTTGGGTGCGGTTCCTGAGCTGTGCAGAAGTGGAAATGTGTGTGTGTTTATGTGAAGGAGGAGTTTGAGATCTCCAGCGGTTCTCCAGAGGAGACGTGGACACCTGGACATTGGGATGTACAGTGCAGTCATCCATAAAGTAGAAAGCACTACTAAACCCCTCGCCACAGTGTAGTGTTTCCTACTTTATGGATGAGTGTACTGTTGGCTGCTGGGAAACTTCACGCCGCTCGACGCAGAACGACAGGAAAGAGAGAAAAAAGGAACTGGCTTGGTTTCGTAAAGCCGTGCACGTCTCATGGTGTCAATACTCATCCACGTGAGACGGCAGCATGCTTGCAGAAACTAAAGCCAGGTTTCTCTGATTGCTGTAAAATCATTGAAAATGTCTTGTATGCTGCATGTCAACTTCAATAAAACAGAAACAAATAAAACACATTTGTCTTTGAGTCAGGGTCATTATTGGTAACGAAAACTGAAACTAAAGTTAAAAACATTATTTGTTACCTGAAAATAAAATAAAAACTTTTATTTAACATAAAAAAGCATGTTTGTTTCTTAAAATCAAAATAAATGCTAGCTGAAAATAAAAACGTATTTTATTTATTAAACAAATATTTTTGTTACTTGTATACCAATACATTTTTCTCAAAAATATTTCTAATTTTCATTTAGTTTAACTTGATGTACTAAAACAGCTAAAACTACAACTGAAAAATAAATCAATGAAATACTAAAAACCATACAGACATACATAACCCCCCCCCCAAATTACAAAAACTTTACTAAACATTTCAACTGAAATAAAAATGAAAATGTAAATATAAAAAAATGACTCAAATTAATAAAAACTATATCTATATTTATAATAATATACTAAAATATATAATAATATGCTATAATCTGAATGATACTCCATCACAACCGAAACTCATTTTATGTGAAAATATACTTTATTTCAGTAAAAAGTCCATATTGCAACAAGTCTTGTCATTCACTTCAAGTAAATCACTTCGACTTTCCCCACAAAGCAAGAAGCCTGTGTGACTATCCAAAAACATGGTTTCGGCATGCACAAAAGAAACCCAAAAAATACTTTACCAAAAGAAGCCGTATTTACAGGTGAGTTTCCAAAAAATGCATTACAAAAATGTACAAAAAAACATCCTTCAGGACAGACACAAGAATTGAGCTTCGTTCTGGCTGTATGAAAATATCATACCTCAAATCACAAAAATACACCGAGCTCAATGCCGCGTACGGCCAAACAAAGCTACGTGCAACTACTACGACACATAAATAGAATAAATAAGGCCGAGTATAGATGGAAAGCCATCATGCATGCAGTCATTACAAACACAGCTGTAGTAAACTTGAAGTTAAGACTAAACGAGGTCTTATAAGGCTAGTTTTTATTATGGCCTAGGACATGCCTACTTGCAGTAGCGACAGTTACGATGGTAAGATCTGCGGCCTGTGCGTTCCTCAGCTTCACCGTGGCAGGAATCACAGCATGCGTCTGGATTATATAGTGCAGCGAGGGGAAAATCACCTGACTAGTTGATATTAAGGGGCTGTACAGTGCATCACAAGGATGCTTGTTTGATGACACGCAATCTACAATTATGCTAAAGCACAACTTTCTTTGTATATTCTGTTCTGCCAGTTCGAGAAACAGTCGAAACTGTCACCTACTTCCTGTCTGTGAGGACATTTGGGCTCTAGCTCCGCCCCTCCAAACGCCTGGCGTTCTGTGATTGGTCGCTGTGGTGACGTGCAGAGCACCTCAAGGTTTGGCAAGATTGTGTGGTTTGGACAGTCTCGCCTGAGAAGAGCAAGAGCTGACTTAAGACGCGAAACTGATGAGCGGTTCGACCTGAGAAATGATTTCACGATAGCCAGAACCAGCGGATGGCGCTAAAAAAACGCATTATACTGCAATGTAAAGTTGAAGGGTGTGCGGTGTTACGCTCACATGCTGTGTCTGTATTACGATGCTCCTAAAACGGAGGAAAAGAAATTAGGAACTAAGCAAGAAGAATTAAGACAGAGCTCATGCAGAAAGAAGCCAATGTTTCTCTGTTTCGTGAATTATTAATGTAGCTATTGTAAAGTGAGTTCCATGTCGATGAGTTTGAGAAAAGGCGAAGCAGAACTAAATACAAAGTTCATTACGAACAATAAAAGCTTCAGTGCATCATCAGATGCACAATATTCCATTTACAGAGAACGATCAACATTTTCCGGTTCGATATGCTGTTTTAGCATGCAAACAACATAAATCATAAAGTTGAAAATTATAATAAATATGTATTGTTGCTGGGTTTTTTGAGCAAATGCAAGCATAATGTTCAATTGGGGGGGGAACGCATAAGAATGTAATTGCCTAAATGAGCACAGAGGTATGGAAGCCCCTTTCCGCAATAAAAAAATAAAAAAATAATAATTACGACTTGTCTCACAATTCTGATCTTTTTTCTCAGAAATGCGTGATATAAATTTGCAATTCAGACTTTATATCTCACAATTCTGAGAAATGCCGTCAGAATTGTGTGACGTAAAGTCGCAATTGTGAGTTTCGCAAATGAATTGCGAGATATAAACTTTAAGAAAAGTCTTTTTCCCTCTCAGAACTAAGTTTATAGCTCACAATTCTGAGAAAAGAAGTCAGAATTGAGAGAGAAAAAGTCAGAACTGCGAGATAAACACGCAATTACAAGGAAAAAGTCAGAATTGCAAAAAAAAAAAGTCAAATTTGTGAGTTTATATGTCACAATTCTGACTTTATTTCTCGCAATTTCTAATTTACATACTGCAATTGTGAGTTTATATCTTGCAACTCAGAGGAAAAAAAGTAATAATCGTGAGATAAAGTCACAATTACCTTTTTTTAATTCAGTGTCAGAAACGGCCTTCCACACAGTAGTGTGTAGAATATAATAAAACCGTGTTTTCAGTAGAATACAACAACATTACTAATAAAATAATCTGAAAGTGCAGAAAATATTGTGATATAGATAATAAAAAGCTTTTCGGCCAGTCGGTGATCCTTCAGATTTTCTCCAGTAAAAACGAATGAATGAATATGTAAAGATTTGAGTTCAGCTCAGTCTGTACTGGTTTAACTAACCGGTTTGTATTATTCTAGCTTTAACTGGATAACACCAGCAACACAAAACAGGTGAAGGGACACAGTTCTGCAGTCTTGGACCCTACTTGTAGTGCAAAATATTTCAGTAGCGACAAAAAAATGATTTTGTCACACTCCTTCGCTTTATTTTCCAGAATTCCTGGAATAAATATCATGTCAACATGTCTCTTCTAAGTGTGCTCTGCCTTTCAGTGGATGATGTTTGTGACACTAGCAGACGGTTATTCATGTCTAGATGCTGTTATATTGAAGTTAAGCGTTTATTTAGAATATTTTGCTATTTTTTACTCTTCAAATGAGTATTTTATAGCTTTTAAACAGGCATGAGCTCTAGTCACAGCTTTAATGGGTTCAAACCCATTTTCCTATTTGCACAAGTATTGCGATTATTTGCTTTTTTGAAAAGAAGAAACAGTCCGACAGACGAAAGCGCTGATAAGTCTGCATCATTATGGCAAAAATCAGAGAATGAGAAAGATTCTCCTATCGGACGGACACACTGAAACTGACACGACACACGAGAAAAAGTGCAATCTGCAGATCTTTAGGCTCACAGCTATTCCTTCTTGCTGGAGCCCAGCTTTCTGAAGAGCTTCCTGCCCTTGGAGAAGAAACCTTTCTTCTTCTTCTCAGGCAGGGAGGCGTCGGGGAACGGAGGGGTCGCGGGGGGAGACGAGCTCAGGGTCAGTTTCTGATCCGAGTCCGGCTCGGGGTTTGGTCCTGGCTGAGAGGAGCTCACGGGATCAAGATGCTTAGACAATTCTGTCTGGCTCACCTGGGAGAAAAACAGAGGAAAGATGAAGGTAGGCAGGTCATTGAGATTTTAATGCTATATAAAATAAAATACAAAATAAAATAATTAAAAGAACACAAGCTGTTTAAATGTACATATGATAAAAAATTCAAAAACTGTTTCTGGTAAGTTCTTATTTTAAAAAGTCCAGTCCTTCAGTGAGCTATGAGAGAGAGTTAACTTTCAACCAATTGCATAACTGTTGTATAAAAGAAAAGAAAAGAAAAATAAAAAGACTAAAATTATGTAAGGAGATTTAATACTGTATGTATGAAATGGCATTGTGGGAATAGAAAGTAGCAGAAGGAAAAATACAGCAGCAGTCAAAAGTCTGAGCATCTGACTTTATGATCTTAAAATGCTTCATCTTAAATTACAAAACAAACTCACGAGGCATGAGTTTAAAGGGATAGTTCACCTAAAAATAAAAATCCTGTTAAAGCACTGAAAGGACTAACTGGAAATAAATAAAAATTCAAACAAAAGCTACAACTGAAATAATAAATGAAACCTAAAAAATTATTAAAACTAGTAATAATAATGATAAAAAATAAAAATGACAAAAGCATGTAAAATTATTCGAACTAAAACTAGAAAATAAAATGAAACCTAAAAATATGAAAATAAAAGGTAATTCAAAATATTAATAAAAACTATAATAGTATATAAATAATACAAAAATAACACTGGTCCCTAACCCTGACCAAAAACAAAACAAAACACATTTTTTGGGGGTGATCACTATCAATTTAAATGTAAAATTATTATGTGAAAATTAGAGATTTGGGAATAATTTGCTGGGCTTTATCAATGCAAACATTCTGGATTCAAAATGATTGAATCTCTAAAACTTTACAGTACTTCTTTACAGTTTTTCTTTGTTATTCTGAGCTTGACAACTTAAACTGAACACTAAAACCTCACTGGAGAAAGCCAGTCATACAAGTTTTGAGAAAAGGAGGGTGAGTAAATGACGACATGTAATGTTTTGTAATCTCTTTAAAGCATGTGTATTGATTCTATAATTCATCTTCAGACTCTCAGTGTTATGTTCAGAGTCATTATATCTAGAGATGCTAGAGAGGGTTTGCTGCAGGTCGGGTCAGGTCTATGAAACACTTACGGTCACTGTTTAAAGTGAACACCTCTCCTGTGCTTCTGAAAACCATGCAAAAATAAAAACAAAGACACATAAGACGACATGCAGAACAAAAGACAGCTGGAGAAACTAATGCTGTTAATCTGTGATGGACAGAACAGAATGGAAAATACATGCAATGATCAACATTAATGCATGCAATAAACACACACACACACACGTACCTGTGAATCCCTGCGGCTATCCGTCACCGTGTGCTCCGTACGCGACGCATCTTCTTCTGTCTCTGGAAAAGCTTGCAGGAAGTTGGACGGTACGAGGCCTTTGTGTCCATTGAGATCCCCCTGAAAACAACACAGACCCATCATGCACTGCTGCTTTGCACAGTCATTTAGTGTTCATGGCCATACACAGGGTTTAGAAATACAGAGATACAAAAACTGAGAGGTTCTGGGATATATTTTTATTCCCCTGATCTACATATGTGCATTTGCCCTCCATTTAATAACAATAGCTTAGATAACAATCTTAATCTTAGATAACAATAGCTTTAAAACTCGTCTTTTTTCAGTCTTTTTCAAACGTAAACAAGAAAAACGTAATGAAAAATATAATATAATAATGGGTTTGGAATGACAAAACTTGAATAGGTAAGTAATAAAATTTTAGGTGAACTATCACTTTAAATTTTGAGCACAGAGCAGCCATTGACATCACTATAAAAAGGACGCAGACACATGGGGGTTTCTTGCCAAATTAAAGGAATAATGAAGGAGACGAATAAAAAAAAAAAACATTAAAAAACTAGAATTTTTAGTAAACTAAAACAACTAGTGCTGAGAGGGAGTTAACTTTCTACCTTGCACATAATAGATGAAAAGAGAAATGTTGACTTGGTAACTCGCACAAAAGATACAACTAAAATATTAAATGAAACCTAAACAGTAATAAAAATGGTAATAATAATCCTTGGGTAATAGTAGCTAAAGTTACTTTTAAAAGTAATGCATAACAATATTACATTATTGCATTTTTATTTTTTATGGAAAGTAATGCATGTTACTTTCGTGCTACTTTTTGTCACCTAGGCTGGACTTGCTTATTTGTTTTTTAATAACGGGGGGAAAAAAAGTTTGTCAATATTTTTGGCAACTGTAAAGGCCCTTTTACACCAAAAGTGAAATGATTAAGCCTCAGGCTGCACTCCCTGCACCTACACCTCACCTACACCTCACTCCCAATAAATGGGAAAACATAGTAACTTGCATTACTTATTTGAAAAAGTAGATTTTCAGACCATATTTAACATAAATGGTCCATACAGCACTATTTCAGTTTTATATTTGGTATATATTAGTGCTGTCAAATGATTAATCGCATCCAAAGTAAAAGTTTTTGTTTACATAATATGTGTGTGTGTGTGTATTGTGTATATTTATTATGTATATATAAATACAAAGACATGCATGTATATATTTAAGAAAAATATGTTACGTTTATATATTAAATATATTTATATATGATATAATTTTTATGAATATGAATATATACACGTAAATACATGTAAATATTTTCAAAATATATGCTGTATGTGTGTGCGTGTCTTTATATATACATAATAAATATACACAGCACACACACATACAGTATATTATGTAAACAATAACTTTTATTTTGGATGCGATTAATCGTTTGACAGCACTAGTATATATAAAGTCATCTGTAAATATTAAAATTTATTCAGGGTTTTTTACATTGATTTTCTCTAAGTGACTTTTGCATGCACACAAGAAACTTTTTTGTGCCCTCGAGAAACTATTCACATGCTCATGGGAATTTTTCGCATGATTGCGCATTACAATTTCTAGTTCTATTTAACCTATTTTCTTTGTGGATGACTGCCATCTTACTATGAATAAAGTGAGAGCATGGATGCACATGAATTAATAGAGATCTACTTGCTCAAAATTTGGCTTTCCTTTTGGTCTAATATCAAGGCCTAATGTCCAATTTAGCACATCCTCAAATGTCACAATAGGTGGCTCAGTGTGCATTGTCCTATATGCTAAGTTTAATGGTTTCTCGTGCACACATGTATATTTTTTATTTTTGCAAAGGTCCTCAAGGCTATGTCATACAGTGCTAAAAATATCATGAGATGAAACCCAAAACATTTTGCATAATTAAAAAGTGCACCTTGAATTCATTCAGTCATGTTTGACAAACACTAAAGAATCACTAAACAGCTGCCATGAAAACACTTCTTGTATGATAAACTTATTTTCATCAAACTCTTAATTGTCTATTATAAAAAATTAAATGGGGGCAAAAGTCTGGAAATGCAAATATTTTTCCATAGTCTTCCAGACCTGGAAATGACTTAAATCAAATTCCATACTTTTCCAAACCACGTTGGAACCCTGTAATGTGTTACTTTTTAGTTACTTCAGAAAATGTAATCTGATTACGTTACTTGTAATGCGTTACCCCCAACACTGGCTCTGGCATAGCAGCTCAGATCTCTGCAGCACCGAAATACAGTTGTTATTATTAAGAGATTACTTCACAACTTTTATTATTGACCTTGGAAATAACGTCAATGGTAGCACGGCCACAAATGTCATTGCACAAAACTCCTATTTATTATGAATATACTAACAGACAGACAGACAGACAGACAGACAGAGAAACAGGCACGAAAGAAACTCACATAGTAGAAGCCGTCATCGTCCATGTCATCGAACACATAGATGACGTCGCCCGCACTGAAGGTCAGTTCAGCCTGGACAAACAGTACATTAAACTCTCATGCTTTAGACTGTTTACTAGTATAAGGAGCTTTTTTGTCATAGTAATAATGTCACCTCTATGTCTGCATTGGGAGAACTCTCTCTTGGGTCGTAGTCAAAGATGGCCACCATCCTGCGAGGTCTGGAGCTTCCCATCGGGTCGGCAGAGCGACTGAGGTCTGCAAGTCAAACACAACGTCTTAACGAGCATCTTTAAAGATGCAGTGAACAAAAATCGGAAATGATGCAGTGCTCAGGGGGTGAAAATGACACAGTAAGTGACAGAAATTCCAGAAAATACATATGAAATCGAACATTTGATATATTTGTGTCTCTATTATGGGTTTATCAGGTGATGATTTGGTGCCTCTGCAGACACTGCAGAGCTTGAATATGAAGGAAACGCTCTCAACGATCTTAAAACATGAAATGACAATTATATCTAAATCTACTGTGATGGTTGACCGTAAAAACGGCTTAATCTAACACAGTGAACCGACAACTACTTCAGATGTATTCTAGCATTTTATGCATTATTTACAACCATGTTAATATTTGCAGATTTTATGAACTTGAGTATTTCAATTAATTGATTTAATTGAAATATTTGTTTGCTGTGAAATTATATGGTTAGGAAAAAAAAGCAATCTGCAAAAAATGCCCATTCTTAAAAAAAAGTTAATTTTTGATAATGTCATAAACTTGTACATATACACATATCAGTCACAAGCTTGGAAAAATTACTGTGTAAAAAAAATGATGTAATATTGTGGAATATTATTAAACATTTTCTGTTTGAATATATTATAAAATGTAATTTATTGCTGTGATCAAAACTGAATTTTCAGCATCATTACTCCAGTCTTCAGTGTCATAAGATTCTAATGGCTTCTGAAAATTCAGCTTTGCATCACAGTGATTAATTACACAAAATATATTCAAATAGAAAACAGCTGTTTTAAATTTAAATAATATTTCACATTATTACTGTAAGTCAGATACATACGCAATGCACGTTTATGAACACCAAACTTAAAGCTAAGTAAGCTTAATTTATGCATTATTGTATAATGTTAGACCACAATTCATAACAGTTATCAGTTTCAGGTCAACGAGTGTCATGGCAGAGGAATAGTTTGAAAACAATTTAGCTGAGGAAGTTCATTAAACAGTTAATTAAATGGTTGATGTGTGTACAGTAGCAGCAGTAGTGTCAGAGAATGAAACTCAATCTATCAGGCTCAGTCTGTCTCTATCAAGAGTGCATGGAAATTATGTACAACTCATTCTGCATTTGTGTTAAAATAAACTTCATGCATGATAAACACTGAACAGAAGAAAAAGAGAAACACTTAAAGTACATGCAAAGTGAAGCAAATTACAGAAGACATGAGCTCAGCTGTCCAATGAGAGACTGAAAGATCATTAGTGGTTAGTTCAGAGATGAGGGCGTGTGGATGCAGATCTCCATGGTAACAGCATGCAGCGCTGCATCAGTACATCAGCATGCAGTTAAACTGTCAGTCACATGCGGCTGGAAACATGAGAGAGAACCGCAGGACAAGACAGAAGGAGCTCAAACCTTGACTGGAGGAGTTCATAGCAGACGTGTCGTCCCACACCGCAGCCGACTCCACTGGAAAAGGACAGAAGTGGGCGGGGAGGGAAGGGTTAGACACAATCTGATTGGCTGCCTGACCTTGATTGACACTCGGGCTCATGGGGAAGAAAACAAATCAAACTAAACAAAATGAGCCACAGCGCTTTGAGGATATGAGTGAAGTGGTTATGAGACACACACACACACACACACACACACACACACACACACACACTCTCTTCAGGCAGTCAGCTTCAGAGAGGTGGTGAGTTGACCAAAGGGGGCTGTGAGCCAAAACACTTATTTAAAGAAATCATTCCAAGTTCAATATAAATTTAAGTTTGACAGCATTTGTGACACTGTCACTTAATACAAAAATATGTTTATATATCATTATTTATTTATATTTTATTACATTTTTTCAGCTTTTTTTTTTTCTAAAAAGAAAAAACAGCATTTGTGGCATAAAGTCAATTATCACAAGTTATTTTATATTATATATAACTGGTTATTATTTTAATATATTATCATTAATTATTATTAATTTATTTTGCAATAATAGCATTTGTGAAATAGTCAATTACCACTTACATTATTATTTTAACATATTATTTATTTAGATTTTTTTTACATATTATAATTATTTTAATATTATTATTATTATAGTTTGAAAAAAAATCATTTGTGAAAGTCAATTACTTACCACTTATGTTGTTGTTGTTATTTATTTATGTAGTATTTTTCATCTTATTTATCTAAAAAAAAAAATTTTTTTGCAATAATGTAAATTCCCACAAAAATACTTGTAATTATTTTTAATTATTAATATTATATCATCATTTAAATTTTTTCAAAAGAGAAAAACAACACTTGTAATGCATAATGTAAATTAATACTATATAATCTATTACTTTTATCATTTGTTTTATTTTTATCAGGTTCTTTTTGTCTATAAAGAAAAACAGCAGTTAGAGTTAATGCACTTACAATGTATTGCAATAAACATACAGTGGGGCAAAAAAGTATTTAGTCAGCCACCAATT